TATAAAAAAATAATATCAAGTCTGACACAGAGACATGGTGAACCTGTCTCATCGAATTTCTTGTAGATCTAACCAAACTAAACTGTAGCAGCTGATCCATCTTGGGATTGTACTCATTGTCTTATACAACATAATAAACATAAGAAGACTATTCAAGATGTTGACGTTCTTTCGTAATCAAAGTATCAATTAAGATAACTGAAATTAGCACTAAAAATCATTTGATTATAGATATTTAGTACTCGCCATCCAATTATAATAATTTGTAAGTAGTGTTTAGGACAAAATGGATCATAAAGATTAAACATGGAAGAGCAGAGACAGCGTTTAACATGAACTGAAATTTCTTTTATATTCAAAATCATCAAATCACTTACAGCTGATTTCAACTGAAGGGGTTTAGTTGGTTTTAGTGGCGGATAAGCTTCCTCCCACGTCCAAATAGTGTATAGGTGCTATTTTTTGTGATAACTCGTCACTATATGAAATTTTACATATTAGAACAAGTTCAAGTGGTTTATAAGGGAAGTTCTATTTGTGGGATGTTTAGGTTCATAAATTTGTAAACTTCCATTGAGGTGCATCTTAATTTTACCTGGCACTGATACAGCTGTATGATCAACAAAAAATTCAATTAATTAAAATAATATAAAAAAAATTTTTGTTGTTGTAGTTCACTACTGTTTGAAACCTCTCTACAGCTTTAAATTTTTATAGAATAATAATGGAAATAATATAAATAAAAATATGTTCTATTTCCAGTATTCTTGACGCGAATAGTAAAGTACCATTAGCATGGGTTCATTCCTAGATTAGGTTCAAATCCAAGAAAGAAATAAACTCATGCAATAAATAATGCCTCTACGAAAGAATAGTATTGAGGTTTAACAATTAAAAATAGATTAGGTTTAGATTAGGTTCAAATCCAAGAAAGAAATAAACTCATGCAATAAATAATGCCTCTACGAAAGAATAGTATTGAGGTTTAACAATTAAAAATACAAATAATTAATGCAATTATTCTACAGCTGGTTTATGATACATATAAGTCAAGTACGGCTTTGGGTCATTTGGCTAATAAACGCTAACTCTGAGCTTCTCTGACTATTGGCAGTCTTAAAGAATTATTTACGAATATGTTATTAAAATATAAGAAATAATTCCAAGCCCAATGGTTTATGATGATGGGTATTTGGTAATACTCGAAACTGCTGTATGGTCAGCCAAAAATTCAATTAATTCAAATAATACAGAAATAAATATTTGTTGTTATAGTCTACTACTATTCGAAACCTCTCTATTAATATTATTAATATTATGTTATTATATTATTATTATTATATTATTATTATTATAATATTATCATTATATTATTAATATTATATTATTATTATTAATGTTATTTACGATTCACTGGGATTACACACTAGCGTAGATTACAGAAGTCTCCACTTAATGGAGTACCATTGTCCGGCTTAAATGTTTTTATTTGGTTAGAAGAGCATTTTCGATTTAAATGTTTTTTTGTTTTTGTATGCATTAAATTATGTTTAGTGTAAAAGAGCCACTGTAAGTGCAGCTGTTACAGAGACTCTTTTAACAGTTCAAATTTATGTTACCCATATAAATATTTACAATTCCTGGGCTTTACATACAATTACTTTAAGCCAAATAATAATTATGTTGTTAAAATTGTGGATAAACAAGATGTTGTATAATTTTTATGATCCAAACTCCGAACTAATAATTGCCAATTAAGTTGTTCGATCAATAAATCGACATTAAAAAGTGACAATCTAACACCCAGCAAATGCGATAAGAAAAGTGAACTGTTAAAGCAACAACAACCACGTCGACAGTAATAAAAACAACAACAAGTAGCATAATAGCACAATGAGAAAAAAAATAACTTCCAGCTTAAATCAAAATAATCTTTGTTCCACTAAAAAATTGAAATTTGTATTAGTGGCTTAATATGCGAACTCTCTCTTTCTTATGCACTCTCTCTCTTAAATTCTATGAAGAGAGTAAAACTCAGCTCTTTATATTTTTCTATAAACAAGTGATTCCGGTTTTGCCGGCAGTTTTTTGTTGTTCGGCTTTTGTTTTGTTTTTAATTTTATATGTAAAATTTTTATATTTCGCGCCAATCTAAGCCACAACTAAAGCAGAAGAAGTAAAATACAAGAACAACACAACAGCACATTCAACATAAAACAACACAGCGCACTGTTATTACCGATGCCCAGTAGCGATTCGTTGGTGTGTTAGCTATGCTTGTTCTTGTATTTCTCGTTGTAAGCATTGTTTTTGCCGCGTGTTAACGAACTTTAATGTTGTTTAAAATGTTTTAGAATAAAAAACTATTTTAGGAAAAAAGAGAAACAAAAATGATTAAAGAGAAAAACAGTTACTAACTCCAAAAAATAGACTAAATAGTATGTTTATGTATACAAATGTAAGTATAAATAAATTCATAATTTGTTTTGATTTTAAGATTTAATATTTAAAGATTATTATTAATTTTAATTATTATTTCTATTTGTTAAAACTTTTTTACAAAACTAATTAGATTTGTATTACTTTACACCTTCCTTATTTTTCTTTTAAATTCCACAATATTTTATGTACAATAATATAAATTAATAATATTTTATTTAAATTAAATTAAGAATATATTATTTAAAATTATTTATTACTTTATTATTGATACATATTTTTTATTATTATAATAAAAACATTTATACCGCGTTTGCCTTTGAAAGTAGCAAAAAAATGACAATCTGAAATATTAATACATTTTTTATTGCTTCGCACAAAAAAAGTATTTTTTATAAATATTTTTAAATTTATTTTAACTTAACAAAATAAACATGATTTATTTATTTGAAATCGCACTTCACAATTTATATATTATCTCGAAGCAATACAGGGCGAATATATATCAAATACATATATATCGAATACATAACAATATATTGAAAATATGTAATATAATTTGAAATAATTTATTAATACTTAATAATTAAAATTAATATTAAGAAAATAATGTAAGGATATGTTTACGAAGCAAGAGTTAATTTTTGACAACCCTGTTCTTTATTACTCTTAAATGTAAAATTCAAGGTCGCTAGTCAATATTACATCAAAACATTTGCTGAATTACTCGCTCACTCTCCCACAACAAATTCAGCTGCAACGTTTGCTTAAATACGCTCTTTTACAAACAAAACAATACGGAATGAAAGTTTCCACAAGTCCCAAATTATTTGTTATACTGCCTTATTTTGTGGGAAATCAATTGTATTAACATAAAAAAGTATATAAAACATTTGAATGACGAAGAAGTAGAGAGGTGCAAAGTGATTTTTTTAAATTGTAAAAATCTATCTATTATTGTTTCGAATGCAATATTATTTTTGTGCATAAATAAATTATGATAAATGTATGTAATTAAAAAAATTCTAAATATATGTAATAAATAATTCTTTCTATGAATTATTATTTAAAATTAATATTTAAAGTAATATTTATAAATATTGAAACAAGATATTCCTGACTGTTTACTCAGCTTTGCTTATAAGGAGGTGTGCGAGTTAGGCTAAGTTGATGCTAAAACAAATGAAAGATTTTTTGGGATTTTTTGCACTGCACACATTTAGCCATTTATCAACATGTATCGACACATCACTACATTATCGGCACAACTTAGAATTAACCTTACCGTAACTCGCACACGTCCTAAATATACGTAATGTATTTAGTTTCAAAATACTTTTAATAAGTAACTGTTTCTATGAATTATTATTTAAAGTTAATATTTAAAATGAAATATTTATAAATATTGAAACAAGATATTATTGATTGTTTACACGGACTTGCTAATAAATGTAAGTAACGAATAAAGTTTTTAATTATGTTTAATAAATATGTGAACTATTATTTAAAGTTAATATTTAAGATAACGTTTATAAATAAATGTTCACACAAGATATTTCTGACGTTTTACACCGCTCAGCTAATAAGGCAGAATTTTTAAGAGAACTTGTGTGAAGTACATGTATCAAACCAAACATCACCTTGTCAAACACACCATAAGCAGTAAGCATGGTGAATTGTTTTGAAAACGAGTATGAAAACAGTTTGTAAGCAACAATCGGTGTGTTAAGTGGAGGATTTATTATGTCGTGCAGATTGTATTTCCCGTCGGAGTTTTGTTAAACGTAACAAAATAAGAAATCGTTTCGTAAATATTTATTATTAAAAATACTTTAATAAAAAATTATAATAATATTAAATATGTAATTTAAAATTATTGAAATATGTAATAAAGAAGATTTATAGTTAATATTTACAATGGTCAGTCAATGTGTAACATGTGGATTACTTGTAGGTTGACAAGCAAATGTTGATTTTTTAAACAAAAAAGAAAATTGTTTATATTTATTTTTGATTATAAATGTATTATTATAAGGCAAAAATCATAAAAAATAATCAATTAAAAAATTGTTAACAATAGCACAAAATTTTATTTAAATAAATTTTAAAGTGAAATAATAATAAAATACAATATAATATCAAATAAAAGAAAATTTATTAAGAAAAATCGTTTAAAATTAAATAAAAAATTATTTCATTAATAAAGTGAAAAAAATTTTAATAACATATATTATTGATATAGTGTTAACAACAACAAATTAAAATAAATAAATAAACAGCTAAATAGTGTTTTATTTTATAATACACACGGAGGAATAATATATTTTGAAATAAAAATTAAATAAATAAAAAAATTTAATAATAAAAATAAAATATAATATAAATTTTTTTAAAATCTAAATCTAAATATCAAAAAAAAAAAAATAAATACAGAATTTATTAATATATAATAAAATTTATAATTTTTTACTCTATCAAAAATGTATAATTAAAATTCTACTCCAAGTAAGTGGAGAACCTATTAATCAAAATCCCTTTAATATTCGCCGGAAAAAAGAAAAATGCCGCCCTTTCTGAAATTTTCCTCCGCCAACGTTTGTGCCATAATTTTCTTTGTACTGCAGACCGTCGTTGCAGTGCAACGTTATGATCAACTGCCCCACGATGGCGGTTCGTATTATCGCACTTCCAGTTCTGGCGAAATGATAAGCTCGTCCGCTATGACGAGTGATACTTTTCCGCATCACAATCGCTGTGAGCCTATTACGATTTCTATATGCAAAAATATACCCTATAACATGACAATAATGCCGAATCTTATTGGTCATACAAAGCAGGAAGAAGCCGGACTGGAAGTGCATCAATTTGCGCCTCTCGTTAAAATCGGTTGTAGTGCGGACTTACAATTATTTCTATGCTCATTATATGTGCCCGTATGTACTATTCTAGAACAACCGATACCACCTTGTCGCTCGTTATGTGAATCCGCGCGTGTTTGTGAGACCCTCATGAAAACTTATAATTTTAATTGGCCTGAAAATTTGGAATGTTCGAAATTTCCAGTTTACGGTGGTGAAGCATTATGTGTCGCTGAGAATACAACATCTTCGACTGCGTCACCAACGCGTACTATACCAAAAGTGACGACGCGAAAAAATTACGCCGGTATGGAGGGTCCACATCGAAATATCGGTTTCGTTTGTCCGGTGCAGCTGAAAACTCCACAAGGCATGGGTTACTCGCTGAAAGTTGGAGATAAAGTGAGTTCAAAATTGTTTTATATTAAAACTTAATTATAAAAATTATATATGAAAATAATCCTATTTAAATAAATGTGTTTAATGTATAAAAATTAAAACAATAAAAAATTAAATCTACAATTAAATGAATAATTAAATATACAAACAAAAATATATATTCTTATTTATATAAAACTAAAATTAAAATATAAAGTAAATAATAGTAACAAAAAGAAAAATAATAAAATAAAATAAATAAAACTCATAAAACATTGAATATTATATTTTAAATATATAATAAAAACCTTTAGCTTTATTACTCGCAAGTCTTCAGAAGACATTATTAAAAAAATCTAGATTATAATAGATACCAAGCAGCATAGATCTATGCTTATCAGCAGATGGGGGAAATAATATTAAGTAGGGATTTGACTAGGGATTTAGGGAATGTGGAAAAGAAATGATGTTAAACAAAAAGGAAAGGATTTATTATGGCCAAAGGTTCTTTATAGCAATTTAAAGGATTAAATATGCATATATACTATATGTTTATATATATTGTGTACATAAATATTATTATATACAAATAGAATATAAGTAATATAAGTATATGCATTATCTTAATAAATAAGTTTTAAAAAAATAATGAATAAAAATATAACAGAAATAATAATAATAAAAGATACGAAATTAAATAATAAAAGAACACTCTTAAAAAGGTATTATATGTTAATATAAATTGAAAATATAACAAAAGTTGAAATAAATTTTATACATAATAAATGTAATATAATTATTTAATAATTATTATACTTATATTATAAATAATATAATATATCATTGTAACAATATTATAATAAAATAATATGTATAAATATAATAATAAGACAATATAAAATATGGTATGATTATAAAAATGTCATGGTAGGTATATATTCTATATATATAGCAATATTGCAACATTATTTTAAGATATATTAAGTAAATATCAATGTTCAGAATTCAGAATGTACTGATATTATGTAGACATATATAATAAAAAAGACCTTCACTTAAGAACTTTAGTGCTTAAAAGTATTACTTGACTTATGTTCAATTCTATAAGGGCTTGTAGTATTTATTATTAAAATACAAGAAAAACATTTATAACTTATATGTTATATTAGAAACACTCATTTAAAGACGGATTTGATTTCCGACCATTCTAACATTTTTTATTTATTTATTGTATAGTTTCGTCTCTCTAAGCTGGCATAATTCTGTACCAATATCTATATATATTTTCATTAAATTTGTTTATTAAAGTCAGTTAAAGAAAGAAACTATAATCTATTGTTTTAAACGAAAGGTTTCTTCAAACAGTAGTAATTAAGTTTTTGGCTGTATGGTCACAGCTGTATTGAGGATCGGGAAATACATATCATCAGTGGTCTTCTTGGAAATATTTCTTTTATTTCATTATTCGCAAACCTTTTTTTAAGACTACAAGTACCAAATTTTTTGATATAATATTTTATTAATAATCTATTTAACAATACATATAAATAGTAAATTTTTCTGACAAACCCATTTGACATCGGGTCTTTTTATTTTTTTTTATACTTTACTTCTCAAGATTTAAAGACTTAATTTTATAAATTAAAGTGATCTTAGTTCATAGTAGTAGATATTTTTATATTTCAATCAAATAGATAATAATAAATAGATAATAATAAATAAATAATAATAATAAATAAATAAATAATAATAAGTAAATAATAATAAATAAATAAAAATTAATAAATAATGAAAATTATATTATAAAGACTTAAAGTTGTAAATTAATGTGATTTTAGTTTATAATAGTAGATATTTTTAAATTTTAATCGAATAGATAATAATATATAATAATAAATAAATAATAATATTAAACAAATAATAAGAAAATAAATAATAATAAATAAATAATAATAAATAATGAGAATTATATTATAACAAAATGGGGAAAAAATAAAAGTATAGCCAAAAATTCAAGGAAAAGAAGGAATAAAAATTTTATGTGGGAAAAGCCTATAGAACATAAATATTTTTCATATTAAAATAGTCAAACCGCCAGCTTTCGGCACCAAAAGCATAAACTAATAAGAAGTGTCACAAAAAAAATCTATAGGAAATTACTTAAAAACGACGTCTATATACTTATACTATATACTTATTGCGATCAGAAAGTAACGAAAATTTTTTATTATATGTAGTTATTTTTTATATAAATGTCGCCCATATTTTAAAGTTTATTTGAACTCTTTCTCAAGGCGGAATATTATTACATCTTGAAGTTTAAGTTTTTTCTATATTAATATTTATATTTATGAGTATATGTAAAAAGAATTATGAAGTTATTAAAAATCAAGAGTAAAAATAAAATAAATAAAATCATATAAAAATAATCTTGAGAAAAACACAAATTTTTTTTTAATTTGATTTTATATTCTGTCAAATAATTTTGTGACATTGTACAGGTTTTTAATAAATAAGATTTAGATAGTTTTCCCTAATCTGAAAAAAATACAAATGAATAAATTAATGGAAAATTGATTAAAAATATCAAAAAGTACAATAAAAATATTTAATAAAAATAAACAGTATTATAAATTATTTAATAACTTTTAAATAATAAATTAATAAAATCATTTAATTAAACCATAAAATTTTATTTATAATATTGACTATGTTATTGACATACATTGTTATTTATTGTAAAATTGTCAAGTATATTATTTTTTATTATTAATAATAATTAATGCATCTATAATTATGTATTATAATAAAAAATTTTATTTACTACTCTTTAAAAAGTCATATAATTTTCTAGTAATTTTTTTTCTTCTCTAAAATTGGAACACATAATTTATTAAAATCTTTATAAAAAAGGAGTCTGTCAAGTCGGTCCGTTTTTGAGTTGTTAATGGAATTGTTCAACAAGTTTCTTTCTTCTCATTATGCTTCGCCCTCGTACCTGAGTTTCTTACTTTCTTGGCATTGCGTTTGTATTTTTCTCTTTCTTCCAATTTACCTGCCGCTCAATAAAAACTGTGCCATATCAAATTTAAATGCTCAGGAATCAAGCCACAAGACCTACAATGCCTTAAAAAATTAAAAATTTAAGGATTTTCTGTATTTCAGCACCTTTTTTCCTTGTCGCCGTCGTCCAACACAAAAAGCAGCAATGTTCATTGTTTAATACCTAAAAAAATTCTACCTGCCTTGAGATGAGATTCTTTTAAGACCATATAAGCATCGAAATTTTTTGTCTTCTCATCTAATCCCTTTGAACCTTTGTAGGCAGTGAAGAAACTTATGAGAATTACACTGGAAACAAGTTTTAATTAATTTTCTGGCACTTCTTTTTTTTACCAAACATATTTTCACATCTACATATCTCTCTGTAAATCCCCTAAAGTATTTTTTTATTTGTTTTTAATTTTCTTTCCTTATTTCTAATTACTACATTCAGAGCCTGGCTAGATACTTGCGCAACCCAAAATATCTTTCCAATACAAATTTCGACAGTACAAATTTACTCAGCACAAATGTTTACTCATCGTTGATTACACTAAACGATGATTATTTCCGAAGATGATGGTAAACATTTATTTGATTTTTGTGATTTTTATGATTTTTGTAATTTTTGTAATTTTTCTATTTATACAACAAAATACTCAACCAACCAAGATACAAGATACTTTACCCGTCGGAAAAAAGGGCTCTTAATCTCTCGTCTTCGCGCGTTTTGTGGAAGGATTTGTGTGTGCCGTCAACGGAGGCATTAAATATCGATGATGCATTTGTGTACTGTGCTGTGATGTGATGTGATGAACGCGATGGAAATCGTATTAAATTGCCTAAGCCGTGTGTGAAGTTGACATATTGGATTTTTCTATCGATTTCACACAGATTCCATTTTCTTATTTTTTCTCTATGTTACCCTAGAAGAAAAATATTATTTTGTATTGATGTAACAAATTGAATGATTTAACTTAATGCACGTCTATTATTAGAATGTTAAGATACATTTATGGTAAATAGAAACTAATAATGTGGAAAAAATTAGCTTTGGTAGACATAAAAATAACAAATTTAATACTTAATCTTATATTTAAGAATATTTATGTATTCAATATGGGCAAAATGTTTAGATAAAAATGATAAAAACATATGTTTCTAGACTTGGATATTGAAAGGTTTAGCAAATACACGAACTCGGCATCTATACTGGCTACAATTTGGCAAGTTAATCATGCTCGAAACCGAGTACGCATTATTTTCGAACTTTATCTGCGATTCCAAATTTTTACGTTTTAGTAAGAAAGTGAAAAGTTATGTAAATATCTTACCAATATCTTGTCCAAATGTATACGATGACATTGTTTTAGGACCGTCTGCTTACTTACTTACTTACTATAGTCTTCTCCTTGAGGAGCATAGGGCCTCTATGTCTACTATGTATTGCAAATCAATAATTCAAAACCCACTTGTATATAAACTGAGCCAATTACACCGTACACTATATGATTCGTGTCTTGAAGACCTCTTCTATAACAGATCGATATGTTTTCAACTGGAAAGTGTAGCAGCAAGACAAAGCTCTGTCAATATTGAATAGTAGCATTTATAAAGATATATTCTCGTAACTCAGCTTCTACATTGGCTAAAACGTTAGTTTAACGTTAGTACAACGTTTCCAAACTGGGAAAATTAAAATAAATGTGTTAGTACAACGTTTCCAGATTGGGAAAATTAAAATAAATGTGTTCGGGAAGTTCGATGAAATTCATTACTGATTAAATGGTTACGTCAATAAGCAACTTTGGCGAATATGGAGCGAAGATAATCCTAAAGTCGTTAACGATTCACCATTACATTCTTTAAAATTGACTGTTTGGTACTTACTTCTTTCGAAATGAATGGCGATTACTTTTTATGGGGCTTAAGTCATTGGTTTATATCGACAAACCAGTGACTTCTGAAGTATTAAAAGCCAATGTTTATATCACCATTAACGCCATACGGCCACATTTATTGCAAACAGTAGTCAAAAATTGGACTGATCGATTGGACCGCGGCATATATATGCTGGAAATCATATTTAAAAAAAAAATGCCATGAAATTATCTACCAGAATATAATAAAAAAAATTTCATTCCAATAATATTTTTGTCTTGTATTATCATTTTAAGCCTATCATTTTAAACGTATTATTTTGAGCAGCTAAAAAAACACTCGGTGGAAGTAGAGCCTAATTTCCCAAGCTTTTCTAGCACTTGGTAGGTTGCATACTCATCAGTTTTGGAATATCTTGAAGATTATGAAAAAATTAATTTTTTAAAGTTAAGCTAATTATGGTCTTAAACAACACTATTGATAAATATTTGGCTATTTCAAGATAGTTTCACACCCAGTCCAATAATGTAGCAAAAAGATAGAGTGAAGAGATAGGTTAATAAATTTTTGCTATATAGTATTTGATGTCAGTGGGTTCTTCCGATAAAGATCTTTGTAGGTTATTCTTTTCGAATAAATTATCAATAATGACGTTGATTAAACATATTAGTTTCTTAGAAGCACAAGTACTTTGTTGTTTTATTACAAAAAAATTTATTATTATTAGAAAATAATATACTTTAACAAAAAATGTGAAAGAACATTTTATTTAGAAAGAAAGAATATAAAATAAAATAATGTTTGCAAATAATTACTCGCCTATCTTTATGACCTAATTGTTAGTTTCTCTCTTTTAATTTTTATTTTTATTTTTATTTTATAAAAAATATTAATGAATTATTTTTATTGAAATTATAGACTTCGTAAAAAAATCGCATTACAAGCTCTTATCATTTAATTGCTCTAATTAAGTAAACAAATAAAATTACAGTTAATGTAAAACTTTTTTATATACAATTTAATAATATTTTGAAGATTGATTATTAAAAAAATATTTTTAAAAATAAATATTATTAAAAAAATATAATTAAAGTTTTCATATTCATGACGAATTATCTCTATTGGTTGAAATAGGGTATAATAGTGAAGAGATACCCAATGGATGAATATTAAAAAATTCACTGAAACTAATTTTCTATTAACATTTTCTTACTGTTATCTCCTCTTCTATTAAAAAGTTTTTATTATGAGTTGAGAATAAAAAATGGATTTCATTCATAGGAATTGT